GGAAAGTTCTTACTCTGCATTATACAAAGGACAGCCAGATATCAACTGTTACAGAAATGAAATAAGATGGAAAATTTTAACAAACTGTTTCTTAATAAAAAAAAAGAAGAAGAGAATGTGCTTTGTTACCCTGTTCTTTACATAGTTTAAGTAGATTGCCTGGCATAGTAACTTCCCCAATTAATATCTACTAAGATCTTATTAAATTCCACTAAGGACCTTTCTAAAGATAATCCCTTTTAGGGAACCAGCAGTTAGCGTAATGGCTATGTCGCTGGACTCCCCCATAGTCAATCGCAGTTCGCGTCCCGGACCCGGTGGCTTAAAACTCACACCAGGCACGTGTGCGTGCATGCCCAAGATCCCAAGAGGAGAATGGAGAAGGGATTGCGGCGTGACCATCCCCCCTGGGGGGTGATTTCTCGCTTTCTGTCTCTGTGTCTCTGTCTGTCTGTCTGGCGAGTGCACATGCCCTATAGTAAAAACCTCTCCAAAAAAAAAAAAAAAAAAAAAGATAATACCTTTTGTAAACTATAAATAGTTTATAAATCTAAGAGTCTATAATTGATAAAAAATTAAATGGAAAAAAATTGTCCTACAAAACTATTAATTATTATAAAACTGTCCTTATGTCCCTTTCTTTGGCTTATTTTTACTATTTTTGCTGCCCTATAATTTGCTAACATATATATTTAAAAATATTCCCAAATACCTAATTAGTAACTATTTTCAAAAAACTTCAAATCAAGAACAAAAAAGCAATATTTGATAAATATGGTACCTGACAGAGGATGCTCTCGGCCCGTGATCTCTGGAATCCATTACCCAACCGACATGACACTCTAGAGGGGGATTTGTGCTATGCCTCGTTTTTCTCTTTCTTGGACTCTACGGAAAAAGAAGTCAAACATTCTTAATTATTTTCAGTAGTGTGAACTTCACAAGTAAGTTAAAACCCTCTGACTGTACACCAAGTCAAACATTTTCATACTGTGGATGGCACATTATGAAATCATATGAAGTCACAAAACTCAGACATCTCACATTCAAGTTACAAAACAACACACAGGGCCCTTTGCTAGATTTGCAATTCCTGGGCTGAAGGAAATGCAACTTCAATCAATGTATGATTCTTTAGAAACATTTCTGATTGTATTCAATTATAGTAGCAATTATAAAGAAGCTATTTCCTTTTTAAAAAATAATTATGTTATTTAACTTTATTCACTTCTTTATTTAAATTTGACCAGAGAGAAACAGAGTGAGCAAGCGAGCAAGAGAGAGGAAGTAAGAAGGCAAGCTGCCAGGTCTGGGACTCAAGTCGTGGTCAGCCATGTGGGAGTCCAGCACCCTTAACCACCATGGGACCTGATGGCCCCTAAAGAAATTATTTCCTAACCTGAGGAAACATCACTGTGGTAAAATGCCATTTTAAAATGAATTCCATGATTTAAAATGCACATTTTAAAAAATACGATTTTTTAAAAAGTCTCATTGTGTAACGTTAAAGGATGTAAAATGCAGACTGGCTGTCTTGTATACCTTTACATCAAGGGCTTTTGGTTCTTTAACAACAGGATAAAATCTCGGTGTTTTGTTAGGATCTTGTAATCTTGGTGTTCGAGGTGTTTTAGGTGTCCTTGCTGGATGAGTCCTAGGAGATTCTGGAACTGCGGTGGGCAATGAACAGGCCGCTGTTGCTGAAGTTATTTCTAGAGTATCAAACAGCTTCTGAGCTGATTCATCAGTCAACTCTGCAAAACAGAACGTTCTTAAAATTATTTTGGTGCCAGGAAAATATTTTGCTTTAACAAAATAAAGATAATTCTGAAGTTTTCTCAGCTCAAAGGATTTTTCACTAGAGACATTTGAAATATACAAGCAAAAATAAAATATTAAACACTTGCTTAATTATTATTTAGCATTACAAAATTTTATTTTGCTATACTATTTTTATTTTTAAAGAAAGACAGACCAAAGTCCATTGTATAAGATTTCCCTTCTGCTTTCCCTCCTTAGAGATAATCAAGTACTTAAACTTAATATTTTGATCCATTACTACATATATGAAACACTTCTGCATAATTAACTTTATATGAGTGACATCACATATTACACATAGCATGCATATATAATTTTAAAACCTTTTTATGCTTTATTTATATAGCTTGGGGTTTTGTTCATTTTCACTGCTTTACAGTAATCGGTAAAAAGATCAGGCTTTATCTGTCCTCCTACAGATGGACATTTATGTTACTTCCAAAGTTTTGGTTTACTCAACAATGCTACAATCAACATTGCTGAACATACGGAAATTACACTAGGGGTTACATCTGAGTGGAAATGCTGAATCAAAAGATCTGTGCATCTTCTAACTTACCGAACGCGCAATGTCAAGCTGCTCTCTATAATGGCTTCACTGATTTACATGGCCACCAGCAACATGTGATAATTCCACAGGTTTTACATGACCCGCTGAAACACTTTTTCCATCTCATGGGATTTAAATGGCATCTGCATTTCCTTGGTTCATACTAGTGAAGCTGAGCATGTTTTCATCTATCGAATTACCATTCAGATTTCTTCTGTGAGCTGGCCGTTCAAATCCTATTTTTCTAGTGTGTTGTGTAAGGTACCAGTCATGAAAATCTTACGGTAAGATACTGCGTAGGGCAGCAGATGAATCATGTAGTAGTGACAAAATACAGGCTTTATTTCTACAGTTTTTCTTCAGACTTAGCAACTTCTCTTAACTCATACAATAAACGTCTGGTTTTGGTTTTTTTTTCCTTCATTCTACAAATAGTATGAAGTGCCCACTCTCTGTCAAGTATTCTTTTAGGTGTAAGTCTATAAAGTCAAAGGTGAACATATCTACTTGCTATTTTCTTGTTACCAGAACGACTATTCTGAGGAGCATGTTAGATCATTTCATATTTCTACTTAAAATCCTTCAGTGCTTCCCTTTGCCTCCAGAGGAAGACGAGGCTCTTTATCTTGGCATCGGAGACTTCCCTGATACTGTCTCATCTGCTGTTATTCTGTTCAATTTTCGTGACCCAAAGAGAACCACAGCACATGTTCCTGCTTCATCGCTCCCTGTTCTTCATGTCTTTTGCTGTCTGAAGTCTCTTTTCACCAGCTTTCGTACACCGAGCTGCACTCATCTCTTCGCTCTTCTACACAGAACATGAAGCAGTTCTTGAACACTTCCTGCCAAGTTATTTTCATCCTTTTATTTTTCATTTAAGTAAATTTATTTTCTTACACATCATCCTAGTAGATGCTAAGAGCAAGTCTCATTGTGTCCATCATGCCGAGTACTAGAGCCACAATCTTATTGAATACTGGTGTCTACCACCGTGTCTAGGAAAAAAATAATTCCTCACCAAAAGAATGCTTAAATTGAACTGTGTTAATGCAGTGCTTTTCATCAAAAAGACTGAGCATATACTGGAAAAAATGTTAAATACAGTACTTTGGTAAAAGAAATATTCAGAGATCTAGTAGTAGCAACAACCCAGAACGAGTAAGCTTTCTAGAACCCAGATTACAGTCTCTAAATTCCACTTCCTACTAATTAGGCCTCCTCAAAGAAATAAAACTGGAGCAGAAAATGTATAATATGAGCCTAGGAAATCTTGCACTATAAAGAAGTTAAAAAAAATGTTAGCATAAGTCATAAGGACATAGGAGCAAACTTTAGTCTTGCCAGTCAAAAATTAAGCAATTTGCATGAGTCCAGTAGTGTATGACTGAAGCACTGTGCAAATGGAGTCAGATCCCACATGGATGACTACAGTTCAAATCCCAGCCCCAGCAGCTTGAAAAACACACCACATGTGTATGCATGCATGCCCCCAATCCTGACAGGATGGGGAGATGGAGTTAAAGGGGATTACAGTGTGACCACATCCCCCTAGGAGTTGATCTTGATCTCTTTCTCTCTCTCTCTCTCTAGTGAGCACACGCATCCTCTCTAACTTTAAAACACTAAATAAACCAGGGCCAGCAGACAGTGTGTTGATTGAGGGGTTGGATACCACATAGCTGACTCTGAGGTTTGAGTCCCAGACCTGGCAGCTTGAACAACACACTGGGCATATGTGCATGTGTGACCAAAATGCAGAGAGGAGAATGGAGGAGAAGGGATTGCAGTGTGGCCATCCCCTCTGGGAGTGATTTCTCACTTCACCTTTCTATCTCTCTGGCATGCACACATGCCCCACAATTAAAAAAAAAAAAAAAAAAAAACTAAATAAACTTTATAATGAATGAATCAGGCTGACAACACTTAAACCAAATCACCAATCATAATATCAGTAAAAGTGAGACTGACAGACATATTGTGGAACAGTAGGAAATAAATCACTCTTCCTAAGAAATACTCTTGCCACCAGAAAACAAAACCCCAAAACCTGTATATACTCAACCCTCTATATCTAAATGCTCTTATTTCTATTTCCTAAGAAATATGAGAGATAAAGAAACAGGTTAAATGATATAAAGAAGATACAATCTGGTAAAGCTACATCATTAGAAACTCTGAGGCAAATAAACTAGTTTCTTCAACAAATCATTGGCCTGGGAAAACGGGAAGTGGATTTATAGACTAAGAGTGACTTAGTAGCATGCCAATCAAATGCAATGTGTGCGCCTTACTTGGTGGTCCTGATTCAAATGAACCATCTCAAAAAGCTATACTTTGGACAATCGAGGACAACCAAACGTTAACTGAAGAACAGATGATATTGGGATCAGCAGATGGTATAATGGTTACATTGCTGGACTCCCACGTGGCCAATCGCATTCGAGTCCTAGACCTGGTGGCTTGAAATTCACACTGGGCATGTGCATGCCCAAAATCCCTAAAGGAGAATGAAGGACAAGAGACTGCAGCATGGTCATCTCCTTTGGGGGGTGGGGGAAGGGGTGATTCCTAGCTTTCTGTCTCTCTGTCTCTCTCTCTCTCTCTCCAGCAAGTGCATGTGCTCTAAAGCAAAAGCCTCTCTAAAAAAAGTAAAAAATACATGACCAGCAGTTGGTGTAATGGCTATGTCCCTGGACTCATGTAGTCGACTGCAGTTCAAGTCCCAGATCCGGTGGCTAAAACTCACGCCGGGCGTGTGCGTGCGTGCCCAAGATCCCGAGAGGAGAGTGGAAAAGAAGGGATTGCAGTGTGGTCATCCCCCCAGGGAGTGACTCCTTGCTTTCTGTCTCTCTGTTGCTGTCTTTCTGGCAAGAGCATGTGCCCTCTAGCAAAAATCTCTCAAAAAAATAGGTATCATGGAATTAACGTTAATTTTGTTATGTGTACTAATAATACTGTAAAAATGCATATATACACATACGCACATATTTTTTTAAGTTCTTATCAGTTCATAAAATACAATCAAGTATTTCCAAAAGAAATTATATGATTCAGAGGTTTGATATAAAATACCAAAAACAGATGAAGGTGCAAGGTACAGATAAAGAAACAAAAACAAAACTATTAACAATTGTTGAAATTAGATGAGATGGGTAAGGGGGAGGCTCATAGTCAGTTCTCTCTACTTTTATCTGTATCTGAATGTAAATCAAAATTAAGTTTTATTTCTGTTTTGTGTTTATTTCTTTCTGGGTTGGTTCGATGTGAATTTTACCCACCAGTAAGAGTAGATAATAACAATTATGCAAAGACTAAGATCTATAGCGCTCTCTGGTTATCTGAAAAGGAAAAGCTTATACAATTTCTATAGCGTATTATGTACCAATTTACCTTTTTTTTTTTTTGATAAGTTTTCGCCATAGGGCGCGTGCACTCGCCAGACAGACAGAGAGAGACATAGAGACAGAAAGCGAGAATTCACCCCCCAGGGAGGATGGTCACGCCACAATCCCTTCTCCTCCATTCTCCTCTCAGGATCTTGGGCATACACGCACACGTGCCCGACGTGAGTTTTAAGCCACTGGGTCCGGGACGCGAACCGCGGTCGACTATGTGGGAGTCCAGTGACATAGCCATTACGCTAACTGCTGATTCCCCAATTTACTATATTTTGACACAAAATGATCAAAAACAGTTTAAGAACATAATATGTAACATACATATCAAATTAGTATTTAAATATATATATAATTATGGGACAAGAAAATGTATGTTATTAATAAACTATAAACCTGAGGTGGTATATAAATATCATCTAGATATCACAGCTTTCTTTCAATCAAAATCACAGGTCATATCTTAGACATGAATGTTCATAATTACATTTTTTTTTTATAATTACATTTTTTATAATAGCCCAAAATGGAAACAATCCAAATATCCATCAATTATTGAATGAATAAACAAAATATAGAATATCCACACTATGGATTACTACTTCGTGATAAAAAGGAGCCAGGCAGTGATACATCCAATCACAAGAATGAACCTCAAAATATTATATTTCATGAAAGAAGCCAGGTATATGACTACCATATCATATGATTACATTTCTATAAAATTTTGGCCCAGCTGTGGCAGCACACAGGTAGTACACCACTTGGGAGACTCGAAGCTGCACAGGAGGCATGAGTTTGGTTCCCAGGCCAACCTGAACACTACGGGAGCACACAGCTGTAATCCTAGCTAACTGGAAGCCTGGAGCACAAGATCATGCCACAGTGCAACTGTCAAAAGTGCCTGTCTTTGGGACCAGCAGTTAGCTCAATGGCTATGTCGCTGGACTCCCACGTAGTCGACCGCGGTTCACGTCCCGGACCCGGTGGCTTAAACTCACACTGGGCGCATGTGCATGCGTGCCCAAGATCTCGAGAGGAGAATGGAGGAGAAGGGATTGCGCTGTGGCCATCCCCCCTGGGGGGTGAATTCTCGCTTTGTGACTCTGTTTCTCTCTGTCTGGCGAGTGCACGCACCCTATAGCAAAGACTTCTCAAAAAAAAAAAAAAAGTGCCTATCTCTGTCCCTTTCCTGTCTCTCTCTCCTTTTCTGGTTTGTATAAAACTACAGAGATAGAAAGCAGGTAATTGTTGAGTCATCAGGAAAAGTTATGATGCATTTTTGCACAGAAAAACACAGTAAAATACATCAAGACTTTCCCGATGACCTACTAGTTGCCTCAGGCTAATGGTAAGTATTGGGACTACAAATGATCAAAAGGGAACTTCTAAGCATGATGGAACTGTTATAAAACTAGACTGTGGTGCTGATGTTCAACTCTACATATTTGTTAAAATTCATCATATGACTCTTAAGGTGGGCTAATTTAATGGTATATAAATTTTACCTAAAAAGGCTGTTTAAAAATTTTTAAAAAGGTCTGGACCAACAGATGTCGTGGTGCTTATTAAGGCACTGAACTCCCACATGGTCGACTGTAGTTTGAGTCCCAGACTTGGCAGCTTGAAAAACCTCTAAAGATAAGGAAAAAGAAAAAGGAAGCTTCCTCAAACTGATAAAGGGCATCTATGGAAAAAATCTACAACTAATATCATGCTCGATGGTAAAAGACTAAATGTTTCTCCCTAAAATCAGAAACAACACAAGATTTCCATCTCAGCTCTCCTGTTCAACGTATTGGAGAGTTCTACAGCATACAACAGCAATAAACAAGTGGAAAGAAAAGAACTTTTGTACTTTGCCAAAGGCCACATGCAATTGCAAGAGAGAGATAACAAGAGAGGAAGAGGGAACAAGCATCACTTAACGCAGTGTGGTCATCCTGTAATCCCTTCTCCATTTCTCTATCCTGTTGGGATTTGGGGCACACGAACACAGGTGCCCAGTACGTTTTTCAGGCTGCCAGCATTAGATTTTGAATCGTGAAGTCAGCCAGGTGGGCTCTGGCTCCCTTAACCACTAGGTCATGGACTGGAAAAAAAATATTTTAAGTACCATTTACAATAGCACCTAAATAAATACTTAAGGGGCCTGGCCCATGGACTAGTGGTTAAGGTAGCTGGATCCCACGTGGCCAACTGAATGGTTTGAGTCCGAGAACTGGTGGCTTAAGAAACATACCATATGTGCATGCATGTCCCAAATCCTGAAAAGAGTATACAATATAGAAGGGACGGCAGCATGACCATGCAGTATAACCTCCCCCTGGGGAGTTGCTTTCTCTCTCCCCACTTCTCTGTCTTCCTCTGTCTAGTGCACACACCCTCTGGCTTATAAACAACAACAAAAAGAGTGAGGAGATATTCAAGCTTTGTACATTTAGTAAAAGGCTGTTTCATCAAATTTATTATCAGCATTTTTAAGTCTCTAAAATGTTTTTGAGTTCATCAAAAACCAAATCTTAAAATTTCAGGTTTTTACCAGATATCTAATGTTCTTCTACAGATAAAGAAAAAAAAAAAAAAGCAATCTTTTAAAACAATTTAGAACTGATTTAATACTATGCAGGCACTTACACAAAAGCAGATTTACCTACCTTGCCTGGACTGTGAAGATGTTACAGGAACTTCTTGGTCTGGTTCAAACGGAAGTTCAGGTGTTAGGTTTTCAAACTGCTCTTTACTAATGAGATTTAGCTTCTTAAAGTTCTCAACTTCTTGCTGAAGTAGAATGGAGGAATCTAATTACTAAACGGGCTAGTAATCAACAGACAATAATTGATACCAATCTCAAAACATTTTAAAACAGGGATTAACTGACGCAGAGTAAAAAGATTTTTTAATAAAGAGACTAGCATTATACTTAATAACAATATTCAGAATCTAAAAGAGACGTAGAAAACCCTAAAATACTATGAATGTCTTTATAACTAAAATACATTATAAGGACATACATACTAATCATTTATCATTTATTGAGCACTTAAACACCAGACGACTAGAATGAAAGGTTACAAAGTAATCTAATACATGTTCCCTATCATTAAGGAATTTATAAGCTAGAATGGGGAAAAAATGCACAAAAATCTATAATATTAGGTAGTACATGAAAAGTGACAATTGGTATAAGAATTGAGATAGTCAAGGAGGCATTAACAGAAAAGACTGGACCAAAGCAGCTCTTGAAGGATGAGAATTTAGAGAAAGGGATTTTAGATTAGGTAATGTGAATAAAGATGAGAAGATTAAAAAGTAATTAAGTAAATGAGAAAATACGTGTAAAGTCAGTGGTAAAAGATCTCACAAGGAGTAGAAAAAGGTTAATAGAAGACCCTTCATAACAACCAGTTCAAGAAGTTTTCACTTCATTCTCTAGTTCTGGGCTACATGGGATAAAAAATAAATTTGGGTAGCCCTGGAGGTAAATTTCGAAACCCCTTCTAGATTAGCAACAAAGAAGCTTAGTAAGGTTTGAGTTGTTGGGTCAAAGGAAGAATGGACCCATCCCCACCTATTACACAGTTGGACATTCCCTGCGTTGTCCTACAAATATGTAGATCACTACAGAGGTGGAGGCCATCTCTACTGTAAGGTCATTTGGCCACAATGCATAAAAACCATCCATGCCTGGTCTACATTGTGGCATAAAAAACAAGGGTTGGGGGGCCCACAGGTGGCATGGTGGTTAAGGCACTGGGCACTCCTACATGGCCAACCACAGTTCAAATAGCAGACCTGGTGGCTTATTTTCTCACTTTCCCTCTCTTTCTCTGTCTCTCTCTCTGATCAAATTAAATAAATGAATGAATAAATAAAATCAAATAAATCTTAAGGGGCCAGCAGATGGCGTTAATGGTTATATCGCTGGACTCCCACAGCGGATCCAAGATCCCGAGAGGAGAATGGAGGAGAGGAGAGTGCAGTGTGGTCACCCAGTGGTGGTGGTGGGGGGTGATTTCTTGCTTTCTGTCCCTCTGTCTCCATCTTTCCAGCGAGCACACACACCCTATAGCAAAAATCTCTCTAAAATAAATAATTCTTAAAAAAAATAAGATAAAATTTGGGAGTAGCAAATGGTGCAATGGTTGTAGGACACCCATGTAGTTAACTGAGGTTCAAGGCCTGGGCCCAGCAACCTGAAAAAACTCACGGCAGGCACATTTCCATGTATACCCGACATCCCAAGAAGATATTGGAGAAGGAATTACAGCATGGCCATCACTCCTGGTAGGTGATTTCTCACTTTCTGTCTGTCTCTGTCTCCCCAGTGAACACACATGCCCTACAGCAAAAATCTAAAATTAAAAACAAAAAAAGTTTGAGGGACTGCTTACACTCTATTACTTCTTGTAAGTTTTCTCCAAAAACCCTGTATCACTTATACACTATGTAAAATTAACAGTTTTTTTTTTTTTTTTAAAGAGAAATAGAAAGTGAGAAATCACCCTTCAGGGGTGATGACCAGCCACCAGTCCCTTCTGCTCCATTATCCTCTTGGGATTTGGGGCATGCATGCACAGTGCCCAGCATGTTTCAAGTCGCTGAGTTTCAAGTCGCCGAGTCCAGGACATGAACCATGGTCAGCCATGTGGGAGTCCAGTACCTTAGCCCCTGTGTCACATGACCTTTTTTATTTTTTTTAAGAGATTTTTAGAGATTTTTGCTATAGGTCACGTGTGTTCGCTGGAGAGACAGAGAGATAGAAAGCAAGAAATCACTTCCCCAGGGAGGATGGCTGCAATCCCTTCTCTTCCATTCTCCTCTAGAATTTTGGGCGTGCACACACACGTGCCCAGCATGAACTTTAAGCCAGCAGGTACAGAACTTGAACTGCGGTCGATTACATGTGAGTTCAGTGATGTAATAATTACACCATCTGCTGGTCCCGACACATGACTTTTTAACAGGGCAACCAATATCCAACACCCGCACACAACAGAAATAAATGACAAAAGTTTTTTTGTCAGATGAAAGCAAACTGAATATCATAATTACCAAATAGTTACAGTGGCTTGCTGTTTCTTCTTTTTTTGTGTGTGTGTGTGAGAGGTTTTTGCTATAGGGTGTGCATGCTTGCCAGAAAGACAGAAAGACATAGAGAGATAGAAAGCGAGAAATCACCCCTAGTGAAGGCCATGCCGCAATCCCTTCTCCATTCTCCTCTTGGGATCTTGGGCACACACGCACATGCGCCCAGCGTGAGTTTAAGCCACCAGGTCCAGGACTCGAACTGCTGTGGTAGGCTCCATGGGAGTCCAGTGACAGAGCCATTACACTAACTGTTGGTCCCCAGTGGCTTGCTCTTAATACAATCTTCTATTTATTAGATCCTGTTAGCCTTTTATAGTGTTTATCTTCTTTTCATTAAAGTATGTTGAATAACTGCTTCAGCTCCTGCCTCTGCACCAAAATTGCTTCCTCAAGAACCTTCAATAAACTCTTCAAGCTAAACCAGTCTTTATTCCTTTAAAAGAATTATTTTATTCAACTTTATTTATGTATTTTAATGTGACCAGAGAGTGACAGAGTGAGAGAGAGAGAGAGGTTGGGTGAGAAGGCAAGCCACCAGGTCTGAGACTCGAACCATGGTCAGCCATGTGGGAGTCCAGCACCCTTACCCACCATGCCACCTGCCAACCCCCTGAACAAGTCTTTATTCACTCTTCACTGTCCCTTACCCTGCTATACACTCTGCTATTAGTAACTCCCAATTCAATAAACAATCATATTTACCAAATGCCAAATACAACACATTCTACTCTGATGGAAGCAGTGTTGTTGTTTTCAATTTAACTAATTCACTTAAATACAATATACAAACAACTAGAGAAGTCTATCACAAATATACATATCAGTGAGCAACCCAAAGTAGACAGGCCTATGTAATTACCATTCAGGTAAAGGGATTACTAGCACCCTAGAACCACCCTTCATTCCCATTCCCATTACTATAATAACTAGTCCTTATGAGTCCTTATTATAATCAATACCATAGATCCTTTCTGCCTGTGTTTGAAATTTGGAAAAAAAATCAAAAGATACGGGTTCTTTTGGAGCCAGCAGATGATGTGATGGTTAAGATGCTGGAAGCTCACATTGCTGACTGCTGCTGAAGTCCTGGACCCAGCAGCTTGAAAATTCACACTGGGAGTGTGAGCACTCTCATAATTCCAAGAGAATGGAGGAGAAGGGATTGTGGTATGGTCAACCCCCAGGAGGTGATTTCCCACTTTCCCTCTGTCTCTCTGCTAAGCATACTTGCCTTATGGCAAAAACCTAACAACAAAAAAAAAAGATACGGGTCCTTTTATGAAAAAAACTGTGAGATTCATCCACGTAAGTGTGTATAACTATAGTTTGTGGCTCTACAGCAGAGGTCAGCAAAACTGCAGCTCCCTATGGACAAAGTCTGCTTTATATATGCTTTACTGGGGCCGGCAGGTGGCATGATGGGTAAGGTGCAAATAAATAAATAAATGAGAAAAAAAAGATCATTTAAAATAATAAATGCTTTACTGGAACATGGCCACACTCTTCTGTTAATACATTGTCAGCACAGCCTGGTGGGGCAGCCAGTAACAAATCACTGCAGTGCTTTAAGCCAGAGAGCCAACAGCAGATTCAGATTCCTGGGTCAGCTTAAAACACACAGGTTCATGCACATGTGCCCAAGATCCTGACAAACTAGGGGAAGGAGATTGCAGCATGACAAGACCTTTTGTCTCCCTCTTTCTCATGAATGCACATGCACTATCATGAATTAAAAAAAAACTTGATACATATGACTGGGACCAGCATTGGCGTAATGGCTATGTCACTGGACTCCCATGTAGTTGACTGTGGTTCGAGTCCCGACCTGATAGTTTAAACTCACAATGGGCATGTGTGCATGTGTGCCCAAGATCCAGAGAGGAGAATGGAGGAGACGGGATTGTGGTGTGGCCATCGCCCCTGAGGGATGATTTCTTGCTTTCTGTCTCTCTGTCTCTCTCTTTCTGGTGAGTGCATGCACCCGATAGAAAAAGCCTCTCAAAAAAAAAAAAATATATATATATATAAATGTAATGTAAAAAATAGTGTCTATAGTGGCTTCATTGCTACAATTGAAGAGTTAAGTATTAATAGTTGCCAAAATGACAATATCTAAAATATTTATTATAAAACCCTTTACAGAATACATTTGTCTACTCTCTGCTCAATTCTTTTTCTTTTTCTGAGAAATCATCCCCTCATGGGGACCGCCATGACACAGTCCCTTCTCCTCCATTTTCCTCTCAGAATTTTGGGTGCACATCTACACACATGTGCCTGGCATGATTTTCAAGCCTCTGGGTCAACTTCAACTGCAAAGTCAGCCATGTGAGACTCGAGCACCTTAATCTCCACACCACCTACTGGCCCCAAACTCTGCTCAATTTTATTCTATGAATATGCCATAATAGTTTTAAATTTTTTTCTTCTGTTGATGAGCATTTCAGTCCTTTCCAGGTAACATCTATAATAAGTTACTACAAACTTTCCTTTTTTTGAGAGAGGTTTTTGCTATAGGCAAAAGACAGAGACAGAGACAGTGAGAAATCACCCCCCACAGTGGGGAGAGCCATAGCACAATCCCTCCTCCTCCATTCTCCTCTCAGGATCTGAGTATGCACACATTTGCACCTGGCATGAATTCAAGCCACCGGGTACAGGACTTGAACCGCGGTCGACTATAGTGATAT